GGAGGAAACTATTTCTGTGTTTGCTGATACAGCTTCATAGGTGCATGCTCTTCTCGAAGAAGCAAAAATTCCTGAGAGAGAGTTTGATTGCATTAAATACTATTAGATCACTGCTCTACTATAACTCCGATATAAACTAGACAATAAGAAAAAAATTACTTTTGAATTACAATTTATTTGATTCTCAGTGCTGCAAAAAATAGCTAACATTTATTCTGAGCAAGGAAAGAGGAAGGTGTTAGCAAAGAAAAAAATGTAATTAGGGCACTCAGTCAGAAAGCTCTTAACATGTTAAGATAACATCTACAGTTCCGCAGAAATAAGGATTAAGAGAGCAACACTTTTTGAAAGAGCTCTGCAGGCACCTGAGGGACACACATTTTGAAAGATTTACTTTCTCCTGTTGGAAGTTGTCAGACCGATATTGATTCATGCTCTCTAAGATCTCAAATCAAATGGTTATTTGATGTACACTTTTAAACTTCGCAAACATCTTTTCCTAGGGACCAGTTCTTGACACTTCCTTCCACTCTGTTGTTTTTGAACTAAATAAAGGAGGCCTTTCCTGGCACTACATTGTCTTATAATCTCCTTCTTGAGAGGTCAAAGCATGATGCTGCAGGTACAATCAATGTCTAAAAACTTAAAAAGAAGGAGAAAGCAGATACACTACTGAGTAATAGTGAAAACTTGATTTCCTAAACATATAGTGATCTCAGTCAAAACAAGACAAAGAGATATGAAAATAAGACATGGAGTCAAATTAAATCCTTGCATCGTTTAAGACAATCCAGTTCTCACTTCCCTTTAGTATTAAGTGAAATGTACCTCTTTATGCTTTGCCAGTTACATTTTTACAAAGGAAATGACTGATGAAAACAGCACAGTTAATAGCACAGTATGAATTTTGTGTTAGGCTAAGTAGGGGCCAATCAAATAAAAAACTAGATCTGAAACTGATTTTCAAAACACTCTACCCCAAAACAGCTTATATATTCTAATTTGTATGTAGATACAGAATAAAAATAAATGCTGAAACATCAAATAATTATGTGAAAATAGCTTTAGTAATCACAAATGCTTACTTTTTCCTTTAGCATCTAAAGATAGATGATCAAAAAGTATTGAGATCTGAACTCAGACATTGACCTTGACATGAAAACCACACAAATCTACAAGCAACTCACTGTCTTTCTTACTCTTACTAGAGTAGAATGGAATGGAATGGTTCAGATTGAAGTCCAACTTCCAACTGCCTGACCTGTTCAAGGCTAACCAAAAGTTAAAATGCATTATTAAGGGCATTATCCAAATGTGTCTTGAATGCTGATAGGCTTGGGGCATCAACTACCTCACTAGAAAGCCTCCAGTGTCTGACAACCCTAAATGTTTCCTAATGTTCAATCTGAACCTTGGCTTGTACAGCTCTGTGCCATTCCCTTGTGCTTTGTCATCAGAGAAGAGGCCAGCATCTCCCCCTGTTTTCCCTCCTCAGGAAGTTGTAGGGAGCACTGAGGTGATCTCTTAGCTTCCTCATCTCCAGACTCAAGTGTCCCAGGTGTTCTCAACCTCTCCTCTCACCCTCCCACTCCTGCTCTTTTACCAGTTTTATTGACCCCCAATGGATTCTCTTAAGTACTGGGTGCTTTTATGTTGTGGAGCCAAGAACTGCATTCAGTATTCAAGGTGAGGCCACATCACTGCCAAATACAGTGGGAGAATCACTTCTTCACTCTTCTTTGAGCTAGCTATCGATATTGGCTGATATTCTATTAACTTCTAAGAAAACCCTCTTTTCAGCCTGTGCCTCAGAGCACAGAGCTCTATCCAGGAGTCAATCAATTAAAACTGTCCTCTTGCTCAGAGAAGTTAGCTGGCTTGTCACAGATTCTATTCAGTTATCCCTTACCCTGACACTGATTTATTTACAAGTGCAAATCAGTCTCTTGATTGACCTGGATACATTTTTCAAGTCCTAAAATAATGAAAACTAACATCACCACATGAATACAAGTCATTTTATGTAGAATTTCCTTTTTACAGTGACTTTAATATTCAGTACAAAGTAATGTCTTATTGCAAGGTATCTTTTCTAAGTGTGCACTTGGGCATTGTAACCCACTACAAACTACCAAGTCTTCATCTACACCTGGATCTGCATTTTATGCCCACAAGTTGGCAGAGAAACTCACACATTCTCTGAAGTAATTGAAGGAAATAAAATCTTTTTTTTTTTTTTCTTAAAGAAAATTTGTTAGAATTCTTTTAACTGTGTATTTGTTTTACCTAAGTAGACCTCTATGAGAGCTCTAAATGAACACATATTTTAAAATGACCCTCATGGGTTCAGGGATCAGTGAGAATACCTGACGACTGGTTGATACAGCGGAAGACTAAAAGGATAAAAGCACTCCAGTGATGGGCTGGCAGAGGTACAGTTACAGTTACAGCTTCTGCAACTCCTGGGACAGCACTGACCACAACTGCAGGTTCAATCTGCCCCAGCTTCATCCTCTTTTTGAGCTCTCAATAAAGCCTTTTAAGCTCAAAACCCCAAGTCTTTTAAACTGTAAGCTAGGACACAACATTTTAAATAGAAACAACTGAACAACAAGATATCAAAGAGAGCAAAAATAAAACAAGCTTTCTACAAAGACCCACTGCTTTCATGAAGTAATCCCTTGGTAACCCAGCTGGATCTCAGGCAGCTTGATGATGCCCAGCAAGGTTGCAATGACTTCTTCCCTGGCCCCTAAGCAATTTTTGAGTATTTCTCAGACCCCTCTGCTCCTCCCCAGCTCCATATGGGACACATTCTGCCAATATGAACACAATTGTTCCATGTTACCCCAAGAGATGGAGCCATCCTGGAGAGAGAATCACATCTAAGCCACTAACTCTTTTCAGGAATACATCCCACAGATTCCTATGATATGTGGATATCACTGCCCTGCCTTACAAAAGTCACAACACATCATAAATCAATTTATCTTTAACACTGCAAAATACTTTCAATTATGTTGATTATTTCAAAATGTGGATAAAAGTGAAGAAAGTGTCTGATGACTTTTGGGATGCAGAGTTCTTTAACTCAGATAACTGGACTAAAATGGAAGGTTTATTACCAACTTTTTTATACAGGCAAACTACATTTTTATTTCTCAACAGCATAGAATCATAGAATCATAGAATCACCAAGGTTGGAAAAGACCTAAAAGATCACCCAGTCCAACCGTTCACCTATTCCCAATAGCTCCTACTAAACCATGTCCCTCAACACAACATCCAGCAGTAACTTTAATACATTTTGCAGCTTTGCTATTAAATACAGAGAGATGATTTTCCATCTAATTTATAAAAGAATTTTTCTGGAAGAAAATGGGTAATCAACATGGAGAATGCCTTTCTTTTGAAAGCGCTGTTCGTCTAACGTCAGTGACAGCTACTTAAAGGCAATCACTTGTGTTTTATACCTCATACAAAAAGCAGCAGACACAGTACCCTGCCTTTGAGACAAAACACTGATACATGTGACAGAACATTTCAAGCAGGAATAATCAGAAAGCACAGATTCAGCTGCATCCAGAAAACAACTGAAATGTCCTCCATTAAAATCTGCAGTTTTGTTTTCTATTGCTTATCAGTATTTAACTGATATATGAGATCATACGATGAATAACAAATTACCTGCATAAGAAAGGTACAGCAGGGGCAAATCACATTGGTTTGTCAGAATTTACAGTGATAACTAACATATTTATTAATAATAAAGCAGTTTTCAAAGTATCACCCAGGAGGCATGTGTTCTGCTCAGTGACCTTTGGAAACTCTAGCCCAATGAATAACTAGTGATGCATGAATGACTTCAGAGACAGTAGATAAAAAGTGCCCATAACGTTATACGTTGTCTGTTATGAGGATGGCTGTAGCAAAGAGATATATTGCTCTTTTGTAATTTGCCTGAGTGAGCAAATCAATGAGAATATAATCCTCAATCCCTATAAATCGAATAGTTATGAAATTCATTATCTTGGACAATTAAAAATATAACACGCAGAAAAAGTGCAATGAATTGCATAATTCAAGCGTCTAATTTAATGGTAGTTTGCTACCTTAGAGGCATTTGCTCATATGGCAGCAGTCACATCTTGATAACTGACCTTGTATTCAAACATTTTACACAGAAGGAATCCTGTGTTTGCTTCAAGATTATAAATCTTCCTATTACCAGCATGTTGGTAGAATACCGAAGGCATTCAGCAATGACAATTTTGCATCCATTAGCAATCCCTGTAAGTACTATGATACATGACAAAGCTTAGACTGTCTTGCTCACACAATATGCTGCTCATCTGGTCCTGGTTTTGTGACAAAGAAAGTTCATAGTGTAAAGGAAACAGTCATGTAACAAAAGACAAGGAAAAAACACCAATTCTAGGAAGATATGATGCAATGCGACATTTAAATGTATTCATTTTGTGCTACATTTAAAAAACGCTATGAACAAAGCCTTTGCTGTATGCTCTGTTTATACCTCACACAATTCAGGCTTGCATAAAGATATTCTTCATGTGCAGACATGGTCTACAGATTTTATGTAGTAATTGGAACTTGAAAAACACTTTTGCAATTTTTATCTTAGAAAGTAAGACATCGTGTCTTCTATTAGCATGAAAGGAAATTGAGGAGATTAAAAGAGAGAGGCTTCTACAATTCCAGGTCACAAACTAAAAGGGAGTTTCCATACCACGTAGTCTCTTCCCAATGGTCTAAAACCTAACTGAGAATCCAGAAAAGCATTCTGGATACTGCTCTGCAAGCTACACCTGAAAACAGGAGAGGCTTATCCTGTTGTATCATTCACATTTTCATACTTTAGACTTGAACATCTTTATTCAAAATGTAAATGATTGTATTCTTAAACACTTGATTTAATTAACAACTGTTATTTTTATTATAGATTACTTTTTTCTTGTAAAAGAAGAATAAGTTATGCTTACCCTTTCCAATGTAATCTCTTCAAACTCATATTCAATTTCTGTTCCGTTGACCTAAAGAAAATAAAATCAGAAAATTGCTTAAATACACAAAGAAGTTAGTTAATTTGGAAGGGATACTGTACAGATATTCCAGCACAATCAGTATACTGAAGCATACTTTTCAACATAGAAGTTAAAGTATCTGAATTATATACTACTTGGCTCCCCTCTGCTTTGAATGGCAGTGTAATCAAGCCTAAAAACTTGAAAACAGTACAAGTTACTATGTAAAGCACTATGATAGTGGATAACTAAGGCATTTACATAATATGAGTAATATCTGATACAGTATATTCGTGGACTTTGTGCAAATGATTAAATATTTTCTGAGGTAATAGTTCTATGTAAAAAACAGAAGACTTCTTAAAATTTTTCTCACAAATTGAAGAAAGATTAATTATTCATTGCCCTCTGATCTCCAATTTACTTTGCAATACAAAATCAGAGAGGAAATTCATAGCACTTATGTAAAAATCACTAACTGATACACATGCTGAAATACATCTTATTTACTATATTAACCCAGGGCAAGAACATGACAGAGTACCTTTGCACCAGACAGTAGAAGAGCAAAAAGACAAAGAATGTTAATGCAATTCTTATGCTGTGTTTCAGTGTCAAAATAAATTAAACTCCAAAACTTGGAGCACCAAAATGGATTGTGATGGACAAGAAATCTATCAACTGAAGACATGACACTGATCTAAGCAGCACTCTGAAATCTTGTTCCCATCTGACACGGATTTTTCCTGTCCCTCTAGGCAACACACTTAACATGCCTTTCCTAGTTTCCTAATCTCTTAAATGGGCAGAATGCTGCATTTGAGGAAGCTACAAAGTTGGCTAGATTATAAGTAAAGTGCATGGTACTGGAAGGACTTCTGTGCTTAAGATCTCAAAGGAATTTCAAAGTTAGCTACAGCTATTTTTTGATTTTGCAAGAAAATACCCATGAGCCAAAAAGTACAAGATACTGTTCACTAATCATACTGTTTTATAGCTTTTATGATAGGATATTTCCTGGAAAATAGTTCTGCTCTATTGTTTTACTTAATTTTTGCTTAGTGAAAAAAAAAAAAAAAAAAAATAGGAACAAAAATTAGATGAAATTTTAGGATTGTCCCTTGAAGGAACAATTTTGTTATTTTTCAGAACAAGAATATTCAGCACTGCTCCCCACTCCCAACTGCTAATAATTTAATTACAACTTTCTAGAGGCAATCAACAAAAAATACTAAATACAATCATTCTTTATCTAGTTATAACTTTTCAAATGTAATCAGGTATTTTTGTTGTATTACAACTATGTACATGTAGCTTCCAAACAAAAGCTTCCCATAAAAACCAGCAAAACTATTTAATTTATCTGTAGTTCAAGAATTGATAACTATGGAATCAGTAATAGAAATACAATCCTCAGAATTCGTGTTCAAAAAGAAACAAGGAGAAAGGCCCAAACAAAAAATCCATGCTTAGTGATGAAACACAAACTTGGCATCAATGAATAAAGTAGAAAACATTTGTATTTTTTAAATGATTACAATCTGCTAATCACGTTACATAAAAAACAGAGATGAGCCAACATTTTCCTACAGGATATTTTCCTGATTTATGTGATAAATTTACTACTTTCTTCATAGAGTCTTTTATTGATATAGGAAACTAACTAGGTATGAACAGCCATCCCAATTTTTGTCCTTTCTTGTCTGATGATAATGAAATCAAAGCTATCTACATGTCTCTGTTTTCATGAACTTCTCTTTTATCTTAGGCTGGTGGATAGCTCTGATCTATGTCTTCAATTCCTCAGTCTTATTCTATAAAGCTGTCTTTGCTTCACTGCTTATAATCACTCTTCCTTTGCATTAAAAACTCATTAGCGCAGCAAAATGGGAAAAAGAGGGACATGAGAAGTGAGCAACCTCTGTGTAAAGATGAAAGGAGAAAACACAAGCTGAATACTCAACTGGCATTTGCACACAAACAATATCTTGATTACGATCATATAAGGATTTCCTTTTATCATCCAAAGTCCCAATTTTAAAAAGGTTCAGCTCAAATCTCCATGAATCACAGCAGAGATCTTCCACCATGTTCCATAGCAGCAGGAATGATATGGATTAAAAGACTGATCTTGATCCAACTCCTTTTGTTATTGAAGCTTATCTGTAGTTCACTGTCCTTACTTGCTGGTTGCTCAGAAGACCAACACAGTTATTTCATAAAAGTTCAAATAAGATACTGCAAGCACACGATGCAGGTGAAATGATGATACATGCAATGCCATTTGTTAGTAGCATCACTTTGTTTCATATTTAGACTCTCTGGCTGCACCCACACTGCTAAATTAGAGTAAGTTTTCAGCCAAGCCTCAGTGCTTAAGGCTGTTTCTGTCTGGAGCCTGTTGGAAACAGATAGCCCAGGAGCAAGACAACAGTTAAGCAGGAGAATCATGGCTCCATTGCTGAAACTGGCTTGTTGGTACTCTTATTTAGCAGCATACAGGCATATCCTCTCCTTTTGTCTATTAAAACTTGACAGCTCTGGCCTGAAAAGGCTCCTGAAAAAGCTGCCTAGACCATCAACTTCCATTTCTTGCAACTAGCGGAAACCTGCTCCTGGAGGTGTTCAAGAAACATTTAGATGTTGTACCAAGGGACATGGTTTAGTGGGAAATGTTGGTAGTAGGTGGACAGTTGGACTAGGTGATCTTAGAGGTCTTTTCTAACCTTAATAATTCTCTGATTGTTCGTGGTCATCTCTTCTTTTCCTCTGCAGCCAAAGAAACCACAAGTATTTGCAAGCTGCTTTGTAATCATTATTTCCCCTTCTTTCAGAACATCAAGGTTGACAATAGATATCCTTAATCTTGACTGAATTTTGCTATCTATAATGCTGAAATACGAAGTAGTCATCTGGCTCTCTTTATACTCATTGGAGAGGAACAGATACTTCTAGCTTTTAAGTCATTTCATACTACATTATGTGCCTCAGATAGGTTATTTGAACTGTGACCCTGAAGTTTCCTTTCACCGAGTGCAGAGTCTAAAACTGAAGCATGAAGTTTGGTGAGCTCTTGCCTTACATAAATTTTCTTTGAAATTCTCCTAACTCTAGATTGATAAAAAGTCCTACATAAGAGATACAATATTTCTTCTACAATTATTACATTTGTGTAAGACCTGAAGTCTGGTTTAGGAGATTTTCCAGTTACTGTTAGAGGTTTATCTGCTCATGTAATTGGAAGCATATATAGAGCTTGATATCCAGCACCTTCCCCCATAAGTGAAAAAAGTCAGGATGTCATCTTGGAACATGACTTCCCTCCCGACTTCCCTCTCTGATTTGGCAAACTGGGGATCTCTCTACGGAAAATCAGTGCTCAACAGCACCTGTGACAGTAAGATGCCCAAAGGAGGGCAACAACTTGTCTCAGAGGATTGGCAGAAACTGATAAGGAGAGCACAAGTTATATGCATGGGAGGATGCAATCAATCACACTTCTGAAAGGCACAGAATCTGGAGTCAAAATATCTCATGCAGGAACACCCAAAAGATGCTGTTGGCCCAGACAAAATAGACAACATGAATGAAACCTTTAGGTAACTTTTGAGGGCTTTTAATGTCCTATTTTTCAGCAACAGCATCACCAACACGTGCTTCTGATGAGAGAAGAATTATCAGCCTCCTGTCCTTAAATACATTCAGGATCTAGAATGTGATGAGTTTTCAGCCACTTTAGAACAAGTTACCATTACTAAGTCAATTCCAATGTTCAAAATAACTGCTTGCAAAAGCAAGGCAACAGTTGCTTTACATTTACAGCTGCACTGTTATGTTTGAGGATTCTTCCCAGCTTTTGGTATGAACATTTATTTAAGAAAGAGATGTAATGTGTAGTAACTATCCAGATACCAGCATGCAAAAGACTTTTCCTGGTGAAACTCTAATCAATTCTAGAGACCACAGCAAATTATATACCTTCCTAAGATATACAGATGACAGTTTATGATGAGAAATAAGGAACAGGTAAAAAAGATGCTCCCAACAAACAATTTTTTCAGAAAAATTGAAATAAAGCCCTGCATACAGAACACCAAACTTAGTTTCTCGCCAACCTGGATTTGTTTGTTCTTAAATAATTTTACTCTGACTTTCCAGGAAGTTCGTCTCATGTAATGAGGTTTAAGAATGTCAAGCAGAGGAAGGGGTCCCTTATGAAAATCAACTCTGTAACTTTAAAACAAATCCCCAAATCCATGAGAATCTATACTGTTTATCATTTTCACATACTCTTTGGTTTTTAAGACTGTTGCATGTATTATTTTTTCCTGATTCTTTATTTATGTCTCTGCAATTACTTGATGACAGTGTCACTGAAATGCAGGAATAAAACTCATCAATCCTAATGACAGGTTAGAAAGCCGACAGTACTTTACTGCAGCACTGGGTGCATGCACTGAATTAATATGGAGTTCTGGTGAGGGGTCTGGTGGTCATCAGGTGGTGTTATCCAGGCAAAAGTCATTCATTACATAAGCCAGATCTTTTCAAGAAGAGACTGCATTAAATAAAAATTACAGTATCTGCAGACTAGTATTACAAACAAAACCCATTTTAATTATATTTCGTTGGACATTGCTTTTTAGCTGTCTTCAGGAAAAAAAAGACTGCTGCTTCCACTTTAATTATCATATTCATAGGAAGATAACTACTCTGTTACTGATTTTCACTCACCATATAATTTTGATTCTTTTGCTTGAACAGTTTCATCAGCCAACCCTCCATACAGAATGCACATTGCCAATATCTGATTTGCAAGTATCCTAGGACACATCTGTCCTTTAAAAAGTTCCACTTCGTGGCACAATTAAGATTCTATGTTTTACATTTAGGAAACACCCAGGCTATTTTGGTATTTTAACACGTACAAGATTTAAACAGCCCTGCATTATTTCTTTTATATCAGCAAGATGAAAGAGTAATCTTCATTTAGTTCTTGGTCATCTCCA